ACTGGTATTTCTGGCCACTGTGTGATACAGAGTGTTGGACTGGATGGGCCTTTGGCCTGATCCAACATTGGCATCTCTTATGTTCTTATGTTATGTTCTTAAGATGAGCCAGTTTGGTGTAGTGGTTAGGAGCGTGGACTCTAGTTTTGGAAAGCCAGTTTTGATTCCCCCACTCCTCCACGTGCAGCTGCTGGTGTGACCTTGGGTCAGTCACAAGTTCTCCGGGAGCTGTTCTCTCACAGGCAGTTCTTGAGAGAGCTCTCTCAGCCCAATCTACAGCCCCATAGCCAGTTTGGTGTAGTGGTTAAGAGCAGCAGACTCTAGTTTCGGAAAGCCAGTTTTGATTTCCCCACTCCTCCACGTGCAGCTGCTGGTGTGACCTTGGGTCAGTCACAAGTTCTCCAGGAGCTGTTCTCTCACAGGCAGTTCTTGAGAGAGCTCTCTCAGCCCAACCTACAGCCCCACAGCCAGTTTGGTGTAGTGGTTAAGAGCAGCAGACTCTAGTTTTGGAAAGCCAGTTTTGATTTCCCCACTCCTCCACGTGCAGCTGCTGGTGTGACCTTGGGTCAGTCACAAGTTCTCTCAGAGCTGTTCTCTCAAGGGCAGTCCTCGAAAGAGCTCTCTCAGCTCCACCTACCTCTGTTGTGGGGAGGGGGAGGGAAAGGAGATTGTAAGCTGCTCTGAGACTCCTTTGGGGAGTGAAGGGCGGGGTATAAATCCAGGGTTTTTTTCTTCTGAAGCTTCTTGTTCATTATTCAGAGGCGGGAGAGGTGATAGAGATGTTTTAGGGGGTAAGAATAAGGTAGAATAGGAAGTTCAAAATATGCCGTGGAGTTTTCAAGCACCTGCCCCCTTGGAACATGTTTGGTAGCAGCAGCCGTAAATCAGTGGCATTTGTATGGAAGTGTATCACAGTTTTTTAGCCTCTGGCTCACACATTTTTGTCTCAGCTCAGGAAGGATGGCTCCAGAGCAAACTCATTTATGCCGTAGCCAAATTGCAGTAGCCAAATCGCTCGCTCACCGCTTTAATGCCAGTAGCTCACAAAAGTAGAATATTTGCTCACAAGACTCCACAGCTTAGAGGGAACATTGGTTACATCACCCCCGTAATCTTTACAGCCGTGATACTAGCTCTGCGGCTCGTGGAGGGCCACATTTGCAGCTGATTTATGGTGACCCCACAGGGTTTTCAAGGCAAGAGGATGTTCAGAGGGTGGTCAATGTTCCCTCTAATGTGGAGTCTTATGAGCAACATTTCTGCTTTGTGAGCTACTGGCATTAAAGTTGTGAGTGAGCAATTTGGCTTCTGCATAAAGTAGTTTGCTCTGGAGCCCTCCTTCCTGAGTCGAGACAAAAATGCGTGAGCCGGAGGCTAAAAAACTGTGAGCTAGCTCACACTAACTCAGCTTAGAGGGAACACTGGTAGTCAGCCACTACCTGCCTCTGCGTAGCATCCCTGGTCTTTCTGGGTGGGCTCCCACCCAAGAATGAGGCAGGGCCGACCCTGCTTCGCTTCCGAGATCGGGCCAGCTTGGGCCATTCCGGTCAAAGCAAGAGATGTTCCAAGGTGGATTTGCCCTCGCCTGCCTCTGCGTAGCAACCCTGGACTTCCATCCAAATGTTAATCAGGGTTGACCCAAGCTAGCTTCCTAGAGTGGACAAGATCCAGCTAACTTGGCCTGTTTGGGTCAGGACTGATAGATTGGTGGTGGCGGAAAGCGCTGTCAGGTCATAGCCAGCTTATGGCGACCTCGTAGGGTTTTCAAGGCAAGAGACATTCAGAGGTGGGTTTGCCCTTGCCTGCCTCTGCAGAGCGACCCCGGACTTCCTGGTTTGTCTCCCATCCAAGGAGTCACCAAGACCACCCCTGCTTAGCTTCTGAGATCTGGTGAGATCGGGCCAGCCTGGTCCAATCCAGGCAAGGGCGCACATTTGCGATTACCCCAAAAGAGCCACATTTACGTCCGTCCTCGGCATGAGGCCTACACCGCAGGGAAGCTCACAGCTTAGCCATTCCTCCAGCGGTGGCTGTTGCAAGGTGGGAACCGCCTTCCAGCCACGGACGGGACCCGCCAGACAAGGGCTTTGCCAATTTGGTGTCGTGGTGAAATGTGTGGACTCTAATCTGGGAGAACGGGGTTTGATTCCCCACTCCTCCACTCGCAGCTGCTGGATGACCTTGGGCAAGCCACAGTTCTGACAAGAGCTGTCCTTGAGAAAGAGCCGTTTCTGTCAAGAGCTCTCTCAGCCCCACCTCCCTCACAGGGTGCCTGTTGTGGGGAGGGGAAGGGAAAGAAGAAGAAGAAGAGAAGAAGAGAAGGGAGGGGGAGGGAAAGGAGTTTGTAAGCCGCTCTGAGACTCCGAGTGAAGGGCGGGGTATAAATCCAATCTCTTCTCTTCTTCTTCTCTTCTAAGCCACTCTGAGACTCCTCTGGGTAGTGAAGGGCGGGGTATAAATCCAATCTTCTCTTCTTAATGGATTCCAGTTTGGTGTCGTGGTTAAGTGTGCGGACTCTAATCTGGGAGAACCGGGTTTGATTCCCCACTCCTCCACTTGCACCTGGCTGGATGACCTTGGGCAAGTCACAGTTCTGACAAGAGCTGTTCTTGAAAAAGAGCCGTTTCTGTCAAGAGCTCTCTCAGCCTAACCCTAACCCACCTACCTCACAGGGTATCTGTTGTGGGGAGGGGAAGGGAAAGGAGTCTGTAAGCCGCTCTGAGACTCCCTTGGGTAGTGAAGGGCAGCAGGGTATAAATCCAATCTCCTCCTCCTCCTCTTCTTCTTCCCTGGAACACGGGGCCGGTTGCCACTTTGAGAAACGGTGCTCAGAAGAGCCACTGCGTGAATCTCAATTCTTTAGGGCAGGGCTGTAAAGTGGACGAGTATTATTGTTATTATTATCCTTGAATTGCGGGTGAGGAACTGAGCAGAGGGGTGAGGCCGCGGGAGAGGCAGGGTCCCACCCAGACATTAATCCGTCCTTTGTGCGGTCTCTTAGTCACACTGCCACACCAACTTCATTCCGAGGCTGGGCCTGACCTCTCCCTTTCCTCACCATGTAGTGGCGACAATCTGTGAGAGAGGCTAGAGCGAGAGGTCTGCGATGAGCATGTCTTTAAGCCGAGCACCCCCCACACACACACACAAAAACACAAATACACACGTGGGTAACCAGTAGGTGGGACAGAGACTCAAGCCAAACGTTGCATGTAACACGAGTCCCCCACGGGGACTTGCGGACAGATGGCAGCGACAGATTCCCCGTGGGAACTCAATGCCCCCCACAGCTGTTTCAGAGCGGGAAGATGGTGCGGGGAGAAAGGCTGAAGCCCCCCGCCCCCCAAGCCCCCATCATAATCGGGCCCCTGGAGCAACTTTGAAGCGGGTTTCCACGGGCAACTTGCGAGTGCCATCTGCCTGTAGGTCCCCACGGTGGACTCGCATTACGTGTAACGTCTAGCTGGGCCCTTGCAGCCGAATCTTAACCTTCCAGGGTGGCTGTGATGCCGAAAGAGGGGAAGGGAGAGACATTGCCATGTTCTTTTGGAGAAACAGAAAACTGTAAAGAATGAACATAAGAACATAAGAGAAGCCAATGTCGGATCAGGCCAAAGTCCCATCCAGTCCAACACCCTGTGTCACACAGTGGCCAAAACCCAGGGGCCATCAGGAGATCCCCTAGTGGGGCCAGAACTCCAGAAGCCCTCCCACTGTGCTCCCCCAAGCACCAAAGATACAGAGCATCATTGCCCCAGACATAAGAGAAGCTAGTGTTGGATCAGGCCAAAGGCCCATCCAGTCCAACACTCTGTGTCAGGTGGAGGTCTTTCCCATCACCTCCTGCCTGGTCCTTTTTAATTGGAGATGCTGAGGATTGATCCTGGGACCTTCTGCATGCCAAGCAGATGTTCTACCACTGAGCCCCAGCCCCTCTTTACAGCTCTCCAGGGTTTCGGGTGGAGGTCTTTCACATCCACTCCTGCCTGGTCCTTTTTAACTGGAGATGCCGGGGATTGAACCTGGGACCTCCTGCATGCCAAACAGATGCTCTACCACTGAGCCACGGCCCCTCTTTACAGCTCTGCAGGGACTCAGGCGGAGGTCTTTCACGTCACCTCCTGCCTAGTCCTTTTTAACTGGAGATGCCGGGGATTGAACACGGGACCTTCTACATGCCAAGCAGAGGCTCTGCCACTGAGCCAGGGTCTCAGGTCAAGGTCTTCCCCATCACCTCCTGCCTGGTCCTTTTTAATTGGAGATGCTGAGGATTGATCCTACCTCCTGCAGGCCAAGCAGAGGCTCTGCCACTAAGTCAGGGTCTCAGGCAGATGTCTTTCCCATCACCTTCTGCCTGGTTCTTTTAACGGGAAATGCTGGGGACTGAACCCGGGATCTTTTGCATGCCAAGTAGAGGCTCCTCAAAACGGCTCTTCTCTCGCTACTAACACTGCAACCCGTCCCTGTTGGTCGCAATTAGATTAAGGGAGATCTTAGCCTTCTTCCCCGCCCTCCCCACCAAGGGATTCCCGCCCAGGGATTAGAGGTTGGCGGGTTTGGGGCGTGTCAGAGGATGTGTTGGAATGAGCTCCTTGCACCCTTCAGACCCCCCCCCAAGCCAGCTCTGCTTCTCTGCATGCCTCTCTTTCTCTTCCGCCTCCTGCTGGCGAGGTGTCGCTCTGCATCTTGTGCTTCTCCCCCCCATCGTCCCGTCCCCCCATGTATCTTGATTTTGTTTACAGTGCATTCTTCTTACATTGGCCGCCTGGGTTTGATGTTGCCTGGTTGGGAGGGAAGCGGGGAAAAGCGTGAGCACGGAGTAGTCTCCGGCGTCGCAACGTCGGGGCAAATAGTTAACAAGTTGTTTCGGCCAGCTGGTCGCTTTCCACCATAACCATGTACAATATGAGTGGAATGTACTGTCAGCTCCCCTGTTTCTCGTGTTTTTCGGGTGGTGGTTTTGTGTACGTGCCTTTTTATTTTCTTACCGAGTTTTCTCTGTCTGTGTGTGTGTGTTTGTTTTTGTCCGTTTCTCGCCCCTGTCCCTTGTCCGTCGCCAGCTCCCTCCCCCACCCCTCTCCCCCTCAAACTGCCCCTCCTCCTCGTCCCCTTCCCCCTCCTCGTCCGCCATCAATGGACCTCCGTCCCCCAAATTCACCCGCGACCCCCTGTCTTACTGTTTGAACGAGATCAATAAGACTGTCAAACCCCGCATCACGTCTTTCCGCAGCCTCCGACGGGGGGTAAGTGTGGCACCTTCTCTTCCGGCATCCTGTGTCTGTGTGTTCAGAAAGGGCCCCCTGGGCGGGCACGGTGCCGTCAGGCAAACAGAGGTGGGGTGCCCTTTGCCTGCCTCTGCATAGCAACCCTGGACTTCCTTGGTGGTCTCCCATCCAAGTAGTAACCAGGGTCGACCCTGCTTAGCTTCTGAGAACTGACGAGATCAGGGCAGCCTGGGCCATTGAGGTCAAGGCAAGAGAGGTTCAGAGGCTGCTTGCCCTTGCCTGCCTCTGCGTAGCAACCCTGGACTTCCTTGGTGGTCTCCCCTCCAAGGACTAACCAGGGCCGACCCTGCTTAGCATCTGAGATCTGACGAGACTGCCCTAGCCTGGACCATCCAGGTAAGAGACAAACAGAGGTGGTTTGCCACTGCCTGCCTCTGCATAGCAACCCTGGACTTCCGTGGTGGTCCCCCATCCGAGTACTAACCAGGGTTGACCCTTCTTCTGAGATGTGATGAGATCGGCCTGGCCTGGGCCATCCAGGTCAAGGCAACAGATGTTCAGTGGTGGTTTGCCCTTGCCTGCCTCTGCGTAGCAACTCTGGGCTTCCTTGGCGGTCTCCCAACCAAGAACGAACCAGGGTTGACCCTTATTAGCTTCTGAGATCTGACAAGATTGCCCTAGCCTGGGCCCTCCAGGTAAGAGACAAACAGGTGGTTTGCCATGGCCTGCCTCTGCATAGCAACCCTGGACTTCCGTGGTGGTCTCCCATCCGAGTACTAACCAGGGTTGACCCTTCTTACCTTCTGAGATGTGATGAGACCAGGCTAGCCTGGGCCACCCAGGTCAAGGCAACAGATGTTCAGTGGTGGTTTGCCCTTGCCTGCCTCTGCGTAGCAACCCTGGGCTTCCTTGGTGGTCTCCCATCCAAGAACGAACCAGGGCTGACCCTTATTAGCTTCCAAAATTTGATGAGATTGGGACAGCCTGGGCTGTCCACGTCAAGGCAAGAGACGTTCAGAGCTGATTGCCATTGCCTGCCTCTGCGTAGCAACCCTGGGCTTCCTTGGTGGTCTCCCATCCAAGAACGAACCAGGGCTGACCCTTATTAGCTTCCAAAATTTGATGAGATTGGGACAGCCTGGGCTGTCCACGTCAAGGCAAGAGACGTTCAGAGCTGATTGCCATTGCCTGCCTCTGCGTAGCAACCCTGGACTTCCTTGGCGGTCTCCCATCCGAGTACTAACCAGGGCCGACCCTTATTAGCTTCCAAAATCTGATGAGATCGGGCTCGCCTGGGCTTTACAGCATTTTTGCCCTTCTAAGAATCATTTGGAACCTTACACAGTGATGTCATGTCACTTCTCCTGCCAACCTAGCGGTTCGAAAGCAAGAAATTGCAAGTAGATAAATAGGTACCACTTCGGTGGGAAGGTCACAGCGTTCCGTGCGCCTTGGTGTTTAGTCACGCCGGCCACATGGCCACGGAAACGTCTTCGGACAGCGCTGGCTCTTCGGCTTTGAAACGGAGATGAGCACCGCAACCCTAGAGTCGGATTCGACTGGTTGGTGAAGCACCATTGGAGCGAGGCAGGAATGTGGTTGTGTGGGACACGGGAGACTGAGGTGTGCTTCTTTCTCCGCTGCCAGACTGTGATCACGGAAGACTTCAGCCACCTGCCTCCGGAGCAGAGGAGGAAAAAGCTGCAGCAGAAGATCGAAGAAAGGAACCGGGAGCTGCAGAAGGAACTCGATCAGAGGTAAGAGACAGAAAGCCAACCCAAGATTCTTTCGGGTTGAGCTTCCGGAAAGAGGGCTCTTCCGCTTTCTTGTTTTTCTCATTTGTGTGTCCCGATTTATTTGATTTTTTTTTTTTTTGCTTTTTCACACATATTTTGCTCCCTCTAGTGGTTGATTTGGTATTCCATCTCAGTATTTCCTGCATAAAAACCTACAGGGAGATATATCCTGGATGAACGGCGATGTAATATTGATTCGCCCACTAGAGGGAGCAAATTTCATGTGAAAAAGAAAAAAAAAACCAAAGCGATAGGGACACACAAGTGACAAAACTGAGAACGAGGAGGAGCCCAGAGACTTCAAATGAGCCAAATTAATTTTGTGCTGCTTTTTAAAACAGGTTTCAAAATGCGGGTCTTTCAGAATCCACAGTTAAAGCTTGAGGGTAACAGACACATCCTTGCCCTTTCAATAAGTTATGCTAGTATGAAACAACACCAGCACTTTACAGAATATTCTCCACCCAAACAGCTCCCCTCCCTGTTTTACTGGCCTGAAGTACGGCTCTCCCATGCACCTTGGCCAGCAGGTAGAGGAAGATCCCGTCCAGCCTTTCCCAGCTTGAGAACACATGTGGTCCGGCGGGGGGGAAAGCAAAAAAAGAGGGCAGCGTGTTCACTGGCGGTGGTGGTGGTAGAAAGTCCCAATACGTCACAGCCGGCTTGTGGTGGCCTCATGGGATTTCCAGGGCAAGAGATGTTCAGACGTAGCTCGCCATAGCTTGCCTCTGCGTATCAGTCCTGGGCTTCCTTGGTGGTCTCCCATCCAAGTACTAACCAGGGCCGACCCTGCTTAGCTGCCCAGGACCTGACGAGATCGGGCTAGCCTGGGTAGATGGCATGAAGCAATAATTGGCTGATGGCCTTTGATTGTTGTGGTCCTCTCCATCTGTCTATATAAGGACATAAGAGAAGCCAATGCTGGATCAGGCCAGTGGCCCATCCAGTCCAACACTCTGTGTCACAGAGTGGCCAAAAATACCAGGTGCCATCAGGAGGTCCAGCAGTGGGGCCAGAACTTCAGGAGCCCTCCCACTGTTGTCCCCCACCCCAAGCACCAAGAATACAGAGCATCCCTTGACCCAGCCTGAGAGTTCCTATCTATACCTTGTGGCTAATAGCCACCGATGGACCACTGCTCCACATGCTTATCTAATTCCCTCTTGAAGCCGTCCATGCTTGTAGCCGTCGCCACCTCTTGTGGCAGTGAGTTCCATGTGTTAATCACTCTTTGGGTGAAGAAGGACTTCCTTTTATCCGTTCTAACCCGACCGCTCAGCCATTTCGTGGAGTGCCCACAAGGAGTTCTTGTGTTGTGAGAATGGGAGAAAAGGACGTCTTTCTATATAAGTGATTGGTTGTATCAAGCCTTTTCGCGAGGAAGTGAGGATCGGTCCTGCATGTTTCCCGTCAGCTCGATGAGGGGGACAGACAACACAAACCAGAGTAGACTCAGGTGGGCCACCATTTTGGTCAGAAGCAGCAAAAGAAACTTTGAGTCCAGCGGCACCTTTGAGACCAACAGAGTGTTACATAATGGGTTCTGGACCGAGGCTCCCTCTAAGCTGTGGAGTCTTGTGAGCACAAATCCTACTTTGTGAGCTGCTGGCATGAAAGTGGTGAGCGAGCGATTCGGCTGCTGCATCAATGAGTTTGCTCTGGAGCTACTCTTCCCGAGCAAAGACAAAAACGTGCGAGCCGGAGGCTAAAAAACTGTGAGCCGGCTCACAGTAATTCAGCTTAGAGGGAACACTGCTCTGGCCACTGTACAGTGAACAGCTCAACATTTATGAAGTGAGATTTCAGGAACATTACAAGGACGCTCTCCAGGGCAGCTGCCCTGTTTATAAGCATGCGATCATCACACCCCAATCCCAACGATAGGCTATTTACATAACACTCTTTCTCTATTGGTCTGCTCCAGGATCCTAGCCAGCTATTGTTCAGGGGAAACGAGCTCAACCAGACCCAGGTACGAGTTCGGGGACGACTCGGGCTCAATGCACAACGTAGTCTTATTCAAAGTGTAAGCTTTTGTGTGCAACACATACTTCCCGTTTTGTCTGAAGAAGTGCGCATGCACCCGAAATCTTGCACTCTGAATAGAACTTTGTTCCCGGCCTGGACTCGAACTTCGCTCTGCAAACCAGAGTAGTTGAAGGAGCTGCTAGTCAACGATGCTCCCGTCCTTATTTTGGGTTAATGAGTATGGATTCACCCCAGATACCCAGGCTTTTGCGCACGTGTTTTCTCCCTGCTTTCTGGAAGGCACAAAGTCCTGTCACAGTAACCAGCTCTCTCTCTTTCTCTCCCACCCACCCATTACCTCCCTCCTTCCAGGGATGCCTTAAATAAGATGAAGGATGTCTATCAGAAGACCCCCCAGATGGGGGACCCCAGTAGCTTGGAGCCAAAGATCTCAGAGACCCTGGGCAACATCGAGAGGCTGCACGGGGAAATCCAGAAGTATGAAGTAAGGAAGCGGGAGAGAAGGCGGGGGGGGGTCCCTCTCCTTGCAGCTCCCCAGTTGCCCTGTGCCCATGCCCAGGTGTGGCTGGCAGACAGAAAGGCTCCAACCCACTCAAGGGTACCCTCCAGTGCCACACATGCCTCTTCAGCAGGGGTTATTTCCTACAGGAGCGGA